TCCAGTTTACAGCGTGGGATACCCGGTAATATTGACCTCAGTATCTCCAGTTTACAGCGTGGGATACCCGGTAATAATGACCTCAGTATCTCCAGTTTACAGAGTTGGATAACCAGTAATACTGACCTCAGTATATCCAGTTTACAGTGTGGGATACCCAGTAATACTGACCTCAGTATCTCCAGTTTACAGTGTGAATCCCCCAGTCCTGCAGAGAGCAGCTTCACTCCTGAATCCTGCAGGTCATTGTCACACAGGTCCAGCTCTCTCAGGGGTGAGGAGTTTGATCTGAGAGTTGAAGCCAGCGCCTCACAGCATTTCCCTCTGAGATTACAGCTGTTCAACCTGCAAAAGGAGCCGTGTTATTATACACACACAGACCAGTATATATCCTACACAACAGTGATCATAGTGATACAAAATATCCAAACTTTTTTTCAGCATAACAAGAGGCACAGAATACAGTTCAAAGAGAATTAGTAGCTAAACACAACACCATGCTAAATCGCCACAGTTAGAAAAGTGATTAAATATGGTACATTTTTAATTTTGGCCAATTCTCTGATGGTCATCATGTTCCCTGTCATGAAGAATACAGTGAACATTTTCATTTCAAAGCACAAATATCCTGGAAAGTTTTGTGTGCAGAATATCCAGGAACTGGATCAAATGAGCAGCTGTTGGCACAAAACAGGTTCTCCTATGAGTTTACTGTGTATTTTGGTCATTTTCTGCAGTCATATAATCATTGACAGTGGGTAAGTCTGTCATACGTTAAAAGTTTTATTCAAACTGTACATTTTCATAAGTCATACAGACCATATTCCCAATAATGTTATGTATGTGTTATATTACATTATCTTCCAGAGCCAGTTTGAATGAGGGCATGAGTGTGAATATGCTCTAAAATCCATTCAGCCACGGGTTCATTAAAATTTATTAGTTAATTTGTTGTTTCATTGTCCTTGAAACTCTGTAGCCAACTCCAACCTGCTGTTTAATTATCTTAAAGGCCCAGTTACCCTGAGACTGAATATCTGCATAAGTATTTTGCACTCATATTGCACTCAACTACCTTTTAGCACTGCCCATAGTCTCCCTTACTTTGACTAATTGCATTTATTTCCCCTACTCCTCCTGGGGGGAGCTGCCTGGAGACCTCAATCTATCAAGATGTCCAGCACATCCTGCAACATGTGACGTCGCCACTACCAATGACATCCGTGCATCCAGCTCGCCGTTCTGCCTGTGTCATCTTCCTTGTATGACCCGCTCCCTGCCTTCTGGCTGCCTGGCGATTGGAGGGAGCAGTGGCACCGGCTTGTCATCTCCCCCCTGCTCCCC